ATCCAGAGATTCTCCGCTAACAATATCCTCGGAACGGAAGATAACTGTCTTACTCTAAATGTGTACGCGCCGATGAATATAGACCGCAAGCTGCCCGTGATGGTGTACATTCACGGCGGTGGATTCCGAGACGGATCCGGCTCACCATTCATATACGGACCTGAGTACTTGATTGAACGCGAAGTTATCCTTGTCACTCTAAATTATAGACTCGAAGTAATGGGATTCCTGTGTCTAGGAATTAAGGAAGCTCCGGGCAATGTCGGCCTCAAGGACCAACTGGAAGCCTTAAAGTGGGTAAAAACGAATATCGAAGCGTTTGGCGGAGACCCTACTTCAATAACTTTGTTCGGCGAAAGCGCCGGCTCTGCCTCCGTTATGTACCATATCCTTTCCCCGATGTCCGCGGGGTTGTTCCATAGAGCCATAATGCAGAGCGGCTCCGCGATGTCCCCGTGGAGCTTCCAGTTTGAACCTGTGAGCACCGCCAGCGCGCTCGCCTCGCAACTCGGATACAACACCACCGACCCATACGAACTATACAACATTTTCATCAACACACCTGCAAAAAAATTGCTCAGCGCTCGCGTTCCGAGAGCTCGCGGCGACGTCGTGCTATCCGAGAACATCTTCGTGCCTTGCGCTGAGAAGAAAATTGACGGAAGTGATCAATTTCTGAATGATACGCCATACAACTTACTAAGACTAAGAAAGTACACCAAGTTGCCAGTTATCGTCGGGTTTAACAGCGCCGAAGGATACATGTTTGTCGGTAAAGAAAACGACACGACTATTTCCAACATGAATTTCATCGATTCTTTGCCGAGGGACTTAAGCTTTCCCACGATGGAGGAAAAGAAAAGCGTCGCGGATACCTTAAATAAAATGTATATGGATAACAAGAAAATTTCTAAGCAAAACCTAGTAAAGTTTTCTCGATACCCGGGAGAGTCCGGGATAACATACCCAGTGGTGGCGACGGTGGATCTGATGCTGCAGAGCTCCGAGCGGCCGGTGTACGCGTACCAGTTCCGCTACTCGGGCTGGATGAACGTCGTCAAGCAGCTATACGGGTTCGCGGGCGCGCCGGGCGCCACGCACGCTGACGAACTCTTCTACTTGTTCAAACTCAAAGCCAAATTATTTCAGTCCTACCTCGAGCTGGACATGAAGGACAAGATGACTACAATGTGGACAAATTTCGCCAAATACGGGCAAGTAACAATATTTCATTTGAAAAATACTAAATGAGTTACTTTTATCCACCAATAAATGGTAGGAAAGTTTGTCTCTTTAAATAAGACAAATTTATTTTGAAAATAAGAAACACGATTGTACGAAGTCGTGTGTACCTATAAAAACGTTATGACACATTTTCACTTACTCTTTCTTTGTTATTATCCAGAGCACTGGTGCGCTGTCATCTTCCTAATTAACTTAATACATGTACGTTGCAGAGACCCCACGCCGGCCGACACACAATTACTGCCCCTCAAATGGCCGCAGACGCAAAAGAAAACTCCTCGCCTTTTAGTTATAGACAAACAATTCACCACCGCGCCGCTGTGGAGTGAACAAACTTTATTGTTTTGGAATGAAACGTATTCTAAATATAGAAGAAAAAGTTAACACATTTGAGACCACAATACCGTTATTAAGTGTACGAATGGGATTAAAAAATAAGACATTAGAGACTGTATTAATCTCGCTGCATATCAGCACGTCAGTATGAGTATGAGTTGCGGCGCGGCTGTTCTTTGCTCGTATTAATTTATTTATTAGAAAGGTACACCAATTGCGTGTTCAAAGTAGTGCCCGTAGTCCGGAGTTTGCCAACTCAACACTGATTTATTGTATTTTTTGATAAACTTACTTAATCAATAAACATTCCTAGGCCTTGATTCATTCGTTTATGCTGCACACTCGCTGAGCAGTTATCCAACCCGCTAATAAGTCAACCAACCCGCACTGGACTGGAGTGGTTGACTTATGCCTGGTCACCCATAACTTGGGTAGCTCTGACAACCTCCATGGACATGTATAATGAGCTAAAGAGTACGGCGAACCATAACTGCAGATGCATTGCCTACCCTTAATCAAAGTAAGTAAGACATGAAAAGAATATTTCACCATCCTATGCTTCTACTCCATTGTCAGATCCAGTTTCCCTTCCATCCTTGAGTTTTTAAATATAAAACTATCTACATATGTAAAACTCAGGTGGTATATTAAAATTTATATAAACGCCTATACAAATTGAACAAATCAACTTACAACCAATTTTTTACCGCAGCAGAAGACCTAACATGAAACTTTGCTACTAAGTTACATCTCAGTGATAAAGAATTTTATTTATTCAATATAGAACCAATTATTTAGTCTTCAATCAACCATACACCTGTTAATTAATATATTGTATTATTTGATCTCTTTTTCTCTTTTCATTTCTTTTGACTATTTATTGGCCAACTTCCCAAACGAAGGATGTATTCAATTCGTCTGTTTTTTATGTTGGGACATGACAAATTAACAACGTTCGTTAACCTATAAAGAAAAATCACTCGTAAATCGAGCAATGAATTAGTTCTGACTGCCATCTATTAGTTATTATTCAATAAGGTCAAGAATCGTGGTCTTGCGGTCACGTGGCTCGTCATACAGAGACCATTACATTACTCGTATATATTATTATATTATGCTCCATGAATTCTAATACCTATAAGGAAAACTACTGAGAAATAATATTAAAGTATTCTATAGTAATTATTTAAACGAAGTTAAATGCGTACGAAACGTTACTACGATATAGAACCAGATATTTAGCAACGTTGTGGCGGATACGCTGCCTTCCGCTCTGACCAACACACCTATTGCTTTTTATACACCCTTTTTATACATTACTGTACGAACATGACTGTGTTCAATTGTTTAATAATAAGCCGGTTTGAGTCCAGCTAGCTAAATAACTGGGTAAATAAGCAAGAAAAAACGACGAATCTTCAAGTACATTTGATATTAAAACATTTGTAAATGAATCAGGTTTAGAGAGGCTCAAGGTAATGGGAGTGTGCCAAGGTCAGAGCTGCCGCTGCGGCTGGTCGTTGAGCAACACGGCTGAAGGTCAATAGTACTACATGGCCACCGAACTGCACCGCACTGTACCAGACACAAATGTCATTCACTTTCTCTTAATATTACGAAATTATCGACTTCTTAGCCTGCCTGATACACACGGATCAATCCAGAATGATACGATGCCTATAAAGGCAGATTGCGTGTCTTGTTGCTGATTTCTTTCGAGATCTAACATCTCGATAGCTTTCGTAACGTTCCTGACCTTTTTGCCTTATAAGATAATTTCATTACGAAATTCATCTTTAATGTAGACTACTTAGTAATATAGAAATCTAAATATATAGAACTAATTTGTTGTTGTGAGCGAATTTTTAATACAAATTAAAATATTTACAAAGAATAACTAAATAATACCAACTCACAAAGGTGGGACCCTCTAAGGGACAGAAGCTTATATTATGTTAAAAGAAAATTTCTATAATGTTACAGAAATGTACAAAAAATCTGGAGGTCCACCTAAAACCAAGAAAGTGAAGCCTGCGTCGTATTTAAGTAAAGTTGTAAGACGCAGTTGTTTATAAAAGTTGTTCAATTGTAAAATAATTGGCAAATTTCTATCTCTAAAAAATCTGTATTGAAAGTGCTTGTCGGTAGAGTGGTGGGGAGCGCGATCTTGACTTTGAGGGCTTAAAGCAAGCCTGTTGCGTGACGTAACACCGGCCAGCGCCTGCGTCTCGTCCGGCTTGCGACACCCGCAACACGCCTGCTTCTGCCCTTACAACTAATCACAAACAACTGGAAGTGAGAAGAGAACGTCACTGTCATTGAAATCAGTAGCGGTTGCAATTACAATCAAAATGTTTAGCAAGAAGACTGCATGGTGCATCCGCCGTTAGCACAGATAACCTTACGCTGGGGCCGCGTGCGTTGTGCGGCGTGCACTGGGACTGGGCCGCACTCGCTGCGCCGCGCCCCGCGCGCACGCACGCCTGTCGCGACCTGCGCCCGCTCCCGCACCCGCGCCCGCGCCCGCACCCGCCTCGTCAACACAACAATATTATAAAATACACGCACAGTCTTTCAACGTTAACTTTGTTACCGGTTTATTCAAGTACACAACGCCAACGGAGATTCCAAAGTAAAGTGTAATTTATGTCATAAATGCTAATTTTATGTAATTAAAATATATTACATTTAATTATTCAAATATAAAATAAATACAAAGGTTTCAGTGTTGATCGTGTATTCAACGTCGACAACTCGATAAAATTACGTAGTTTTGTTTTACAATCTCGATAAATAATAAAGCTATGAAAATTTCGCACATAGTTAAAAAGTAGTGAGTTGTTAGTGTTGATGTTTATGATAGACAATGAAGTGGGTGGCGCTGATGTCGCTGATCGTGGCCAACGTGGTGAAGGTGCCCACGCCGGTAGTACGCACCAGCGGCGGCCTGGTGCGCGGCCGTCTCAGCGACAACGGTCTCTTCTACACCTACCTCGGTATACCCTACGGCTACGTCGGTGAGGAGAACAGGTTCAAGGTAACCCAATATTTCACTATTTTATGTCATCTATATCAGAAATGAATGGGCAAATTAAGTAATAGTAAAGCGCGAAAACATGAGCAGCTCACAACTAAACATTTTATCGTGACATATCTTTTTACAGATTTCGATCTTATGCTTTGGAACATAAAGTTAATTTTTGTGACTACTCCCAGATGCCTTCTAATTCTAACAGCATTCCTATGAATGTGTAATCCGGCGCACTGGATGTCAGTTACTGGCGGCGACTGCGACTGCTTACGGCTGCTACTATGAGCCGTCATATCTGTGTTCACTCCCGTTTTACATATATCCGTTTGGACAAGATCCATCCATACTTTCTTTAGTCTTCTTCTACGTTTGCCGCCAACCACATTCAAACTTGATACTTTCTTGACTATGTGCGTCGCAAGGATACATACGTCACTTTTCTCCACCAATAGCGTTGCGTTTTAGAATTTGCCGTGGGTATGTAAAAAGAGCTACGTCTAAATAATTTTTCGCTACTAAATTGAATGCTTCCTATATATCATAAACCCTTCATACTTTACACCTTTTTATTATTTTTTTATAATGTAACAAAGCGTAAACTACTTAGTTATGTAGGATGTCACCAGTCACAGTATGTTTTTAAGAAATAGCCATACACTTACGACACGCTTTAAAATATACATTTTCACGCTTTTAAACTTAGGGAGTAAATAATCTGGAAAAAACCGACATGCGGAAAGGGTACAGCAACTACAAGCTGACAACCTCAAGGAACCAAGATTGCCATGGTAACGGTAATTGTTATCCAAAGCCTTCGTTGTCATTTGTGTATTTGAATTTTTACATTTACAATTGTTGACAAATGTAAACAATAAAAACAGTATTGATAATTTCATGCGGATGAAGCCGCACGGGAACAGCCATTGTTTAAGATTTAAAAAAAAAACTTTTAATCGAGTAAAGAAACATGTATTGCGTAATATTTACAGAAAAATGACCATGAAAAAAGTTTGACATTTCTCACTTTAAAATTTAACCTAAAACTATAGAAACTCCTTCGACAGCCCTTATTACATTTACATACAGTGTTTAATATAGTAATAAAGTATACAAAAAATGTCCAATTTATTGTCATGTACACATTGCCTTTGGCGAATGGCGAACGTATCACTTATGACAAAAGTCTCGCTTATCTAGTCTATTATTATAATAAGTAACTATTTATTATTATATCCATTACTTGTATGGATCCATTACACAAAGCTTTAATGTTTACATTAATGCTATGTACACATGTATATATAATAAACATTAATTATATAGCCACGTAAATTTGGAGGTCGAGGTTCCTTAATTATTTTCGATCATTGAGGTTCCTTGTAGATAATTATTGAAGATTAGCATGAGTAGTGGCCGGCACTGGCGAGGTTCGGTGGCGAGGTTGTGGTCCGGCGGCAATCCGGCGGCAATCAACGTCACATAGTCAAACAACGAAATATAGTCCTTAACCAAAACGGAAGTGAAATTGATATACCATTGGTACAGCGAGCAACATCCGTCGTCCGTAACAGCGTACCAGTGTCGTTTCATTTGACGAAAGAAGCAATGCGGGCGCAGTGACCTGTCTGTCTCACTTTCAATGCACTCGGGTCCTACCTGCGAGTATTTACAAATCAACAAGCTGTCGCCAGCGAACTTAGCGCGCAATTATATCGCACAATGCAAAGCCGGTATTGGCTCTCATTTACACTAATTAAGGTTGCGCATTCGCAGCACCTGAGTATTATATGTAACCTTGGATGACAAGATATATGAATGAAGGTGAGCAAGTTAAGACACTGTTACTTAACAGTACAGTTACAAGTTTAATTTATCTTGAGACGTGTAGCTTTCCCCACCGACTCTAATACCATATGCACCTCAAATGCCTACTTGATTTCAGCGTCGTTTAATATTCTCAGTAAAAAATGTCATATTAAAACAAAATAAGATGTTATTTCAATAAAAACAACATATGATACAAATATGAAAGTGTATTAGCCTTAATCTTTAGTGACCGACAGAACACTCGGTTTCGGCTCAGTTTCGAAAAATCTAGTTACGGCCTTAGTTTTGGTTTCAGCCGAAACATAGTAGAAAGTTTCGGCAATCATTGGATAGTTCAGAAAAAACAAATATAAAAATTACTGTGTTTGCGCAGGCGCCGCTGCCACCACTGAAATGGAAGGGCGTCTTCGAGGCGATCGAAGAAAACGTGCGTTGCCCGCAGAAGATGCTCGGTTCCGTAGTGGTGGGCGAGGAGGACTGCCTGCGCCTTAACGTGTACACCCCGGCAACGCAGCCCTCCCAGCCGCTGCCCGTCATGCTCTACATCCACGGCGGTTGCTTCTTCGAGGGCGCCGGCACCGCCTTTTTGTACGGCGGCGACTACTTTGTCGAGCACGATGTCGTGTTCGTCGGTATTAACTACAGGCTCAACGTCGAAGGGTTCCTCTGCCTTGGCATAGAGGAGGCTCCAGGAAACGCCGGCCTCAAGGATCAGGTTGCGGCGCTTCGTTGGGTTCGGGACAATATTAAAGCATTCGGTGGGGACCCCGGTAGCGTCACTCTATTCGGGGAGAGCGCTGGCGCCGTCTCCAGCTCGTATCTTATCTCCTCGCCGGCCGCTCGGGGCCTCTTCCACAAGGTCATTCTCCAGAGCGGGTCATCGCTAGCTCCATGGGGAATGCAGCAAGACCCGATTAAAACTGCCAGCAATATCGCCAAGGAATTCGGTTACACGACAGTGGACCCCCGAGAGCTGTACGACATTCTCTCGAGGAGGACTCCCGAGGAGTTGATCCTGGCCGTGCGGAATCCGCAGCACAAAAATTATATAACAGCGGAGACTCTTCTGGCGCCCTGCATAGAGAAGCCGATTCCTGGCGTGGAGCCCGTCGTGGCGGAGCACCCGGTCGACGTCATCGCTTCGGGGAACTACACCAAAGTTCCCATGATAATTGGTTACAATGACAACGAGGGTATCTACTTCGTCGCTAAAGATTATGGGACCACAGTGGAGGAAGTGAACCCCTCGGATCTCCTGTCCCCCGACCTCGAGTTTCCTGGTGACGAGTCCCGAAACACCACCGCCGAAATGTTGCAAAAGCATTACTTCTCTTCGAAAAGGGATGATTTGATAATGGGCGTAGTGGAGCTGTACTCGGACTTGCACTTCAAGTTCCCCTCGGTGGTGGAGTCCGAGCTGTACCTGCGCACTTCGCCGGGACCCATATACTTCTATCAGTTCCAGTATAGCGGCTACATCAACCTGCCAAAGCAGGTGTCGCGCTTCGGGGCCCGGCGCGGCGCCTCGCACGCCGACGAGCTCTTCTACATGTTCAAGCCGGCCTCCTTCCCGCTGCCGCAGCGCTACCTCGAGACGCACATGATACAGCGCATGGTGACGCTCTGGACCAACTTCGCCAAGTACAGGTCAGTTCCCAACTCGCGCCTCCGTCCGCGCCACATGCGACACAACCCTTTGCAATTACTCGTAGCTTGTATAACTTTATTTCACCTTAATGTATCCTTTAGTCTTTTGAACAAAAAGTTTTTTTTATTATTTTTATTAGAATTTTAATTATTTTAAATCATGTAGCAACTATTAAAACCATCTTTCAACGCTCATATCATCTACAGTACAAACTATGAACCCCAGATAAAATAATTGTCAAATGGCCTCAATTAGGCCAACGTTATATGCACGCAGAGATAGCATGTGTGACCCCCTCGACAGCAGCTACTACTATGTACCATCTGGACGATACAACATAAGAATTAAATAGTGAATATTTGAATTTAAAAAATGCTTCCATTCCACTTATGAAAACTGATTCGATGTTTCAAAAATTGGTTACACGACTAATATTGTGGTATGTTTTCAGCGATCCGACCCCACAGAGGTCGCGTCTGCTGCCGGTGCGGTGGCGTCCTGGACGTGAAGGGCAGGCGGGGCAGGCGGGCAGCCCTAGCGCGCTGGTAATCGACCGCGCGCTCAGCACGGCGCCCATGTGGGACGAGCGCGCAGTGCGCCTCTGGAACCAGACGTACGCCAAGTACCGCCGCAGGAGCTTCGGTCACTACGGCCTCGTGCGCGACGCGCGCGCCCTCTCCTGCCGGTAGAGCTCGAGCCTGCTCCCGCGTGTGGTACTCCTATATCCAGGCAGTAAAAGCAACCCGCGCACGGGAGCATAGGCGTTGTGCGAAGATTGTTAATTGTTATTATGGTATAAAGGGTGAATTTTTCGTTCTACTTCACATGTTCCACTAATGATTGTTAGTTCGTTCATTTCGTTGAATTGATTTATATTTAGGGTCATTGATTATTTATTGCTTTAACCAAAACCAAGATTGTTTCGTGGGACTCGTGCCATGTTTTACAACTATTTATGTTACGCTGGTAATACTGAAGCATAACCCAAAGCGCGTATACGTAAATACAGGTGATAGTGTCTAGTCTTTCGTGCCTAAGCAATAAGTTTAGAGGTTCAAGAAGTCACGGTTTATGTACTGTGTTTACTTATTTCAAGGTGGTGTTATTAAATATTTGAATATATTAAGTTGTTTTTTTTATTCTAACAAAACAGATTTATTAGAAGTCATCACTTGTACATTAATAATAGTCGTGAGTTCGTAAATGATCTGCGATGACTTCGTTGTTTTAATGATTCGAAACATTCCTCAGTATTCGCAAATCAAACCAGTTCGCAACATTTACCTACTTTTCACAATTATCTGAAGGAGCCATGTCAGAGCTGTGACAGTTAGAGTGAGGTGAACAAACTGACAGTTATACATAACGATATTAGGATTACTGACTTAACACTCTGAGGCCTTTTCCACAGTCCGTGAATGTTCCGTCTATAAGCCATTGATGCAACAAGACTACAGCCAAAAGGTTTACTAGTTTACAAAGTTGTGCACCAACGCGTCTCCATTGCCGACACAAGTGTACAGAACATTACATAGGTTTAATAACTCAGTATTGGTTACTGGTAAAAGAGTAAAATCTCTATGAAAAAAACTTTATGTGATGAAAAAACGCGTAGTACTTAGTTTAGATTTTATAACCGCGGATAATATTAATTTTTTAAGCAAAATAATGAACTCTTATCACTATTGAATTCCAAAAACACGTCGAATTATCATTATCACCTTATTCGTATCTACAAATAGTATTTTCATCACTATTGAGTCGTCTAACCTATTTCTTGGAATTCAAAAGTTTCCTGAGAGTGTTCTCGTCCTGGAATGATGTTGCAGCTACAGTGTGTCGAAAGCTGAATCCAAGTTGATGGGCGTTAAGCTTGTGTTTGTGAGACAAGAGGCAGCGCTGACGCAGGGCACGTGGCCGCGCCGGCCGTGCGTGCATAGCGCGCGCAGGAACGGCCCTCCGTCCGCGCC